TGAAGGTTATAAACAGGGAGAGTCCAGAGATGTGTGAGAAGTCATTTTAAATTAAGTAAGGGTCTGGCCACAGTTTGTTCTTATCATAGCTTAGGCTCCTTCGCACTGCGGCCACCACTTCCAACAAAGTACTCATTGACACAACCACTTCCTTTTTTTCAAAGCTGGAATAAGGAGTCTAAATTTCTCACCCAACTGTTTTCATAGCATCTACAAGATAACATTGTGAAAATATAAGGGGAGGGTTAACATAATTCTGGGTCTAAATGAGACTTCTTGAAAAAAGTATAAATTTCATAAATTTGGATTTTCACATCTGCTTTCATAATTATTCCAGTGTTGTCCTGAACAGCTCTTTATTACCACACCAAAATCTCTATATAGTTTTATCTGCATCAAATGATGTACATTTTACTGCGCAATTGGTGTGCAATGAAGTCAAACCAAATGGCAATATTTGATCTATTTATTCCCTTTGACCCATAAATTAGATAACACCAATTCTCAAAGATTAAATATAAAAGCCTCTTAGTGATTTTTTTGAGGAACCAAAGATCTCAATTTTGGTAATTACTACAAACTATTATCAGTCACTTCATTATGTAAAGATTTCACTATTATTAAAAATTTAAGGGGCAGATAGGAAAACAATTTTAAACCACCTTGTTTCAATTTCAAAACCAAAGATAATTTCTCTCCTAAATATACAAGATTTCAACAATTTTATTTACTTTCTGTAAACACTTCAGTAGATGCTAGTTTTTCCGTAAAACCATACCTGACAATAAGAGCAATTACTGTTTAAAGTATTCAGCAAATTAGAACATCTTAAAAAAAAACCCTTTCACTTAGGTATCAGTATAAATTTACTTTATTTATACCAAGATCCCTTGATAAGAAAAAAAAAAAAAAATCCCATTCATCATTCTTCCTAATTATGGAATACACTATATTTTGAAAAAAAAAATGTATTGTAGAGAAGAAAATTCAAATAAATTATAGTATCACTGCTCGGACTAAACTACTGTTAAAATTCTGGTATATTTTCTTTCAATATTAATAATTTTCCCCAATCATGGGATCATATTGTATATGGTCTCATTTTTTATCAACTCTTATGTTGTGATAATTTTATTGTTTTAAAGACTGCCTAACATTTCACACTATAGATATTCCATAAGAAATTTACCAATTACTCCATTGTTGAGCAGTGAATTTATTTCTAATTTTTCACCATTTTAAGTCAAACTATGATTAAATTTCCTATAGACATATTTATGTGCATTTTAATATTTCCTTTAAATTTATTTATTTAACAAACATTTCTATAGCACTTGTTATATGCCAAACAATATTTTATATTCTTTATAAATATTTCAGTATTTGACATTGCTAACAAGCCTATGAGTAGACAGTGACTAGTCTCATTTTACAAATAAGGAAACTGAGGCACAGAATGATTAATCAATTGCCAAAAGTCATAGAGGTAACAAGTAAGGTGAACTGAAATTAAATGCAGGCAGTCTAGCTTCAGGATGATGCTCTCAAACATTACTCTATGCTATATCTCTAAAGTATAAATTCTAGAAGAAATAATGGGTCAGAAGTATTAACATTTAGGAGTCATTGGTATATTTTGCTCAACTATTTTTAGAATATGTATACATTCTTACCAGCAGTGAACCAAACCCAACCAACTACAACCAGTAGATTCTGACTCAGAGCAACCCTATAGGACAGAGTAGAACTGCCCCTTAGAGCTTCCAAGGCTATAGATCTTTATGGAAGTGGATTGCCACATCTTTCAACCACGGAGCAGCTGGAAGGTTCAAACCCAGTGACCCTTTGGTTAATAGATAAGTGCTTTAATAACCACTGCGCCACCCAACAGTAAAACAGGATGGCAATTTCAGTGTAACCTCAGCAACCACAGACTTTAATTTGCTTTTCAGTTTGGTAAGATATACTTTGTATCTCATTACTTTAATATTGATGCATTTGAATATTATTGAGGTTAAACGTTGTAAAATATGACTGTTAACCATTCATTTCTTTTATTTTGGGAATTTTTCCTTGCCAATGTATTTATGTATTTACTTCTTCATTGAACCACCACTAATTGAGTGCTTTTATGTTCTGGAGCCCTGGTGGGGCAGTGGTTAAGAGCTCGGTGGCTAACCAAAAGGTCAGCAGTTTGAATCCACCAGCTGTTCCTTGGAAACTATGGGGCAGTTCTACTCTGTCCTATAGAGTCTCTATGAGTTGGAATTGACTCAACAGCACTGGACATTATGTTCTAGGCACTGTTCAAGACACTTGAACAACTTCAGTGAACAAAATAGATAAACATCTATGCCCTCAGGTGTTTACATGCTAGGTAGGAAGAGACAAACAATAAACAACAAATATAATAAATCAGTAAAGTACACTGTAGGTAATAAGTCCTATGAGAAGAAAATAGAGCAGGGTCCAATGGAAATCAGGAGTTCCTGGATGGTGCGAATGGTGAATGCACTCAGCTGCTAACTGAAAGTTTGTGGGCTGGAGTTCACTTAGAGGCACCCCAAAGAAAAGCCTGGGGATCTACCTTTGAAAAATTAGCTATTCAAACCCCTACGTGGCACAGTTATACTCTGACACATATGAGGTCATCATGAGTCAAGATAGACTCTGTGGTAATTGTTACAGGGAATTAGGAGTGGTAGGAGTGGTAGAAGTGCTAGTTGAAATTTTAAACAGGATGATGAGAGAAGTATTCAGAAGATGGCATTTGAGAAAATACTGAGATGAGAAAGTTAGTCATGGGCATTTCTAGGGGAGGAAAAGTTCAGGCAGAGGAAGCAGCCATTGCAAAGCATTTAGGGAAGATCTTACCTGGTGGATTCAAGGAACACCAAGGAGGCCCATGGAAGCAGAAGTTAAGTAATCAAATGCCGTATTGCATTGGGCAAATCTGCTGCAAAAGACCTCTTCAAAGTGTTGAAAAGCAGTTTGAAGACTAAGGTAAGCCTGATCCAAACCATGATATTTTCAGTCATCTCATATGCATGTGAAAGCTGGACAATGAATAAGGAAGACTGAAAAATTGATGCCTTTGAATTATGGTGTTGGTGAAGAGTATTGAATATACCATGGACTACCAGAAGAACGAACAAGTTTGTCTTGGAAGAAATATAGCCAGAGTACTCCTTGGAAGCGACGATGGTGAGACTTCATCTCACATACTTTGGATGTGCTATCAGGAGGGACCAGTTCCTGGAGAAGGACATTGTGGTTGGTAAAGTAGAGGGTCAGTGAAAAAGAGGAAGACCCTCAATGAGATGGATTGACACAGTGGCTGCAACAATGGGCTCAAGCATAACAATGATT